CTGCTGCTGGCGCTGGCGCTGGGCGGGCTGCCGCGGGCGGGGGCCGTGGAGGAGGAGCCCGGCGCGCAGGGCTCCACCGAGGGCTTCCAGGTGGTCACCTTCGAGTGGTACCACGTCCAGGACCCGTACATCATCGCGCTCTGGATCCTGGTGGCCAGCCTGGCCAAGATCGGTAAGCGACCTCCCCGCGGGCTCAGACCAAGCAACTGCTTGCCGCGCGCCCAGCACCGAGCCGGGCGCCCGCGCTCCACTCTGCCTCGTAGCCTGCGCCGTTGTCCGCCGGCTCCCGGTGAGGCTGCTGCGCCTACTCTCCGGCCGCTGCGATGCGGTCTGAGGTGCGCCGCGGGCCACTGCAGGAGTGGGGCTCCTGGCGCAGGAGGGCGAATTTGGGGGGCTGCCAGCCTGGCAGTAAAGATCGCTGCGGGTCGTCCCTCCCTCGCCGGCCCGGTGCACCTCCAAACCCGCGCGTTCCAGGCCCGCGCGTCCTCCGCGGCTGGTGGTGGGTGCCGCGGGAGTGCGCCGTTCCGCGCCCGGTTCCGCGCCTGGGGCATCCCATGCTTCGGGCGCTCAGGGGTCCTCGTTGCCGGGTTTCTGTTGGGCGCGCTTGGCTTTTTAATGTGCGGAGCAAGGAACCGTCTGTGCAGCCCGATACGGGAGTGAAGTCTTGTCAGTTTCTAGTGCAGAAAATAAAAATTTAAAAAAGATGCCGTCAACCCAGCGAACTCCTGTCTGGTGGAACAGATTTCCCATGAAAGGACTTCCTCTCTTTAAACCTGCTCTGTTTCTCACTTTCATAGCCTCTGTGAATCAGCAAAGTGGGGTCCTCCTGTGACCTCCTGGGCAAGGTGACGGCAAGGTCACTCTCTTCAGAGCTTCCAGGATCAAAGTGGCAGCTATGGCCAGCCCTGGAAGGGTCCTGCTTAAGGCAGTGAAGCAATGGGATCTATAATTTACTAGGTGCAGGGGACAGCGACAGATGGAAGTGTCCCCCTGGGGACGCCAGTGGTCAACAGAGACAAGACTACAGCAGTGGGCTGTGAGGGTGCTTTGGGAAGTGGTTGGGGAATGGCAATGGACAGGGCAAAGAGCCAAGGCCCCTTCTGGGCAGTGACCTCCCTGGCTAAGAAGAGGAGAACAAGGAGGGCCAAGCTCTGAGCGGGGTTCAAGGACCTTGGTACCTGGTGCGCCAGCGGTGAGGTGAGCCTCCCTGCCCCTCAGCGCTGCCTGGGGTCTGTCCTGTTCCTGCCAGTGGTGGCCCTCCCCTTTCCAAAAGCCCCCCTGCACTTCTGTTTTCCATCTCTGGCTAACCCCTGCTGCCCCCTGGCTCCTTCTCTCCAGCCTGTTTTCAGCCCCTGGCCCTGGCTGTCCCAGTGTCTCCTCTGTGATTTTCTGTGTGTAATTTGGGATGTCTGCTGTGTTACGGTGTGAGCCCTAGGGATAGTGTTTCCTGGGGTGGCCACCTTGGCCTCAGGGAATCGCTGAGTCTGAAGGGCTGAAGGGTCAGCCATTGCACCCCACCCTGTCCTGATGTTCACATTGTTCCCCCCTGAAATGACCTGTCCAGGACACTGCTCTCCCTCCGTAGAACCAGAGCGGGTCAAGGGGGATGCTGTGAGC